TGGTCAGTCTCCTATAATCATGCATGTGTCACTAATGCTAATGTGAAACAGCTGGATGAGTCTTTCAGTCAAGGAAATAAACCAATCAAAGCACAAGAAGAGCTGAACTAATTAGCCGAGCACAGGAGCCTTTCAATTTGAAAGTAGTTTGTAAAACCTGAAGTAGCTCAAAGTGTCCTCCCTGACATGGATTATCTGGTCACCCTAGATATGCACATTTCAGATATCCCAGAAACGTGGGCCAGCTCCCATAATAACACTGCAGTATGTTGATTGCATTTTTGCAAAACCAGTGGAATCACATCGATATTAAGCACTGGTGCGCGCAATACCTATCAGTCATGGAAGTTTCAGGTGCCCAGGCAGAGCCCCCCTGGGGGGTACCTAGTTAGATCTGAACACATTTCTGTCCGAATGTCCCCACATTTAAAGGGTTAAAATCGCTCAAACAAAGTGACGTCATAAACGTGCGCCTGAACGTAAGGGAAAGAAACAGTAGAAGCAAAGTGTGGGCAGTGTGCTTGGGAGATTGTCTCTATTTTTATTATTTAAAACATGAGAGAAACGCCATTGTCAAATTGCGAACGGCAGTTTCTGTTGAAGGCAATTGAAGAGAAAAAGGTAAAGTTCCGTAGAATAAGCAAGTCAAATTGCAGGCGTTAATTTTATTGAAGTTCGCGTAATCCTCCATGTCACAACGTGACTTTAAAATGCATATGATATAGGTAGCTCCATTATTTTCACGGATTATAATCCAACAAAATGAATATGTTAGAATGGCACAGTTTCATGAAAGCTGATTTAAAATCGTGTTAGCACGTGGAATTCTGCTCAGTGGAATATACATCCCTGCATCACAAGCCTAATCTTTTTCGATGTTTTGCATCTAGCTCACATTTTTTTCATTATTTCCGGCAGCGTTTGGATGGAAGGCAGACGTATGATTACAGAAACATCAAGATTACATTTGGAACCGATTATGGATGTTGCGTTGTTGACGTGGGAAAGACAAGGTGAATAATTTTAGCCCTAGTTGTGATGTTCGTTAGTCATTTAGCCCTATAATATTTAGGCTAATTTCAGTCTTTAAAATGTCTTCATTGTTGAGTACAAATTACAGTTGTGGGATCTGTGTGTGTGTGTGTTTTTAACATGCAGAGTTTTGGCTCAAGTGTCGTGTGAACTGGTAGCTCCTAAAGATAATCGACCAACGGAGGGGATTATGTTCATCAACTTGGAGCTATCGCCTATGGCTTCACCTGCCTTTGAATCTGGCAGGTACGGTATATTTATCATTCGGTAATGTAAAACTCAACAGTTGTAGTAAATAGCAAGCGTGCATGTATAATTGTACAGTTTTAAAGCTGATTCAGAATTCATGCTTATTGTTAATTTTGCGATTAGATAACTGAAGCAGTTCATGATTCTAAAATAGCAATGTCTCTTAATTGAAGTCTTGGGAGCAGGTTGTTGATAATGTTTGACTATTAAATGCATCGCGTTTTCTCCTTTGTCATAAACCTGATGGTTCTTAATGTTCTTTCAGTCGGTTTAGATTTGCATGTCATCTGTCTGTTCATTTCCCAAAACAAAGACATGTGCATTTCTTTTCAATGCTGACTTCTCCCTTGCCTCTTTTCTTTCAGACAGTCTGAATTACATGTGACGTTGAATAGGCTGTTGGAAAGATGTCTTAGAAACTCCAAGTGTCTTGACACAGAGTCATTGTGTGTAGTATCAGGTGAAAAGGTAATTTTATTTTTATAATTTCTAAATTGCCTTTAAACGCAGTGGTCTGAGACTCAGTCTAGGTTTCTGGGTCCTCATTTAACTGTATGGTTCAGGTACCATCCTAGTGGGAAAAGCTGTGTCCATTTATTGTGAGGCCTCAGTTATGCAGCTAGAAACTAAGTATAATAATCAAAATGCAGCCCTGAAGCTTTGAATACACTTTTATGCTTTATTGTTGTTGTGCCTGTAATGTCTGTGTTTTTATGTACACTACCAGACAAAAGTTTTTGCACACAATGAGATTTTTCTACATTTGCGTGTTACTTAACATTTACTAAAAATACACTTAATATTTGCTAAAGAATAAATGTACACCATTTGATTACCTTTATTAGCAAGAAAATGTCATATCTTTGATTCATCAAAGTAACCTCCTCTAGCAGTTATAACAGCAGGGAAAATTTGAGGCATTCTTTCTACAAGGGGGATTAAATACTGATCTGAGCTGCATGGGATGAATCAGTTAACTAGTGCATTTTAAGTTAAAGGACAGCCTAGAATTTGATTATGGCATCACCACACAACCACTTAATAGGATGTCAGACATGCAGTTAGAGACTTTCTGTGTTTAAAGGAAACTTGTTTTATTTGACTTGTATTTTCATTCATAGTTGTTCACTCCATTTTCCAGTGCTTAACAAAAATGAAAAATCTTTTTTTATAAAACCTTTTTATAAAACCTGTGGTGTCCAAAAACTTTTGACTGGTTGTGTAGGTACATACAACCTCAATGCAAAACATTCTGTCAAAACAACAACAACAAAAATACTGAAGGTTTAGGAGTATGAGTTTGCTTGTTTTCAGGTATGGAAGATAAGGATAGATGTGCATGTGTTGAACCATGATGGCAATATCATGGATGCAGCGAGCATCGCGGCTATCACAGCACTGTGCCACTTCCGACGACCAGACGTCGGAATTCAGGGAGAAGAGGTGACCATCGTGAGTATCACTGAACTGTCATGTCATCTTCAGGGTCTTGCACTTACCTTAAATAGTAGAAATCCCTGTACCATCTGCATCTTGTTCAGTTCCTCCACAAACAGAGGATGCACATAATTGTTAAATCCCGTTGTGCAATATAGTAAAATCCATTGTGTACATAATGTAATTATAACATAATAAATGTTAACCTCCCCTACAGTACACCCCAGAAGAGAGAGACTTAATCCCTCTTAGCATTTACCACATGCCTGTTTCTGTCAGCTTTTCCTTTTTCCAGCAAGGGTAAGTCTGCTTTCCTTCGTTGCATCGCTCTATGCATCCACCGTGGGGCGCTCTACTGAATTGTCATTTCTGTTCTTTCACAGAACTTTTCTTCTGGTGGACCCATGTGAGCGTGAGGAGAGGGTGATGGATGGTCTACTGGTTATAGCAATGAACAAGCACAGAGAGATCTGTTCCATCCAGTCCAGTGGAGGAATTATGCTCTTGAAAGAGCAGGTGAGATCAGTCGGAATCTCTGTACCTGTCTGGGATTTTTTGTATTTTTGTGAACAGAAAATAATTATTGTGATGTACATTACATGTAAATATTTGATTAAGGAAGTGTCCACGGTGTTGCTTTTCATGAAAATATATGAAGCTGCATGTTAGTAATATCTGTGGTTCTGTGGCTTATTTTGTTAAATCTGATGTGCGCTGCAGTACTTTGGCAAAATGTAAATGCATCATTTTACAGGTTCTTCGATGTAACAAGATTGCAAGTGTCAAGGTCTGTGAGATAACAGAACTAATCAATAAAGCCTTGGAAAATGACAGGAAAGTTAAGTATGTATTTGGAATTTTATTTCAAAAGGCCTCTCCTTTGATGTTTAAACCATTGATCTAGGTGAGAAGTTTTTCTCTTAGCTGAAATTGTACACTATTGGTACCAGTTGCTTACCATTATTTTTAAAGACACAGTATTTGTCAGTAACCTCATATAAAAGCAAAGTCATTCAGACGCATAACATTTCCCTTCAAAATCACTGAGGATGGGTTCAGGGTTCAGATGTTGAGGACTGTGATTTGAATAGTCCTGTCCTATGTTTACCCAAAACACTTGGCTGCATTAGCCACCCTTAATTTGTATACCTGGAGGAAACCCCATGATGACACGGGGAGAACATGCAAACG